AATAGGTGGGTCTGTTTCTGCATAGGCCATTCTCAGAAGACATGCACACTAGCACATACTTACTCATATAAAATGTATCAGTGAGTCACTCATTTGGGCACCAGGAAATCTCTCTGACAGAGCAAGTGCCCTATGAAATAACAAACAAAATGTGTGTCTCAACCTATTCTCAAAGTTTTGTCCCCAGCATTCTACCAGAGCAGTTGACCTGGAACAGAATTCCCTTCCCAGCTATTTGATAAGGTCGATCCAACACAGAAAAGAAAAACCTCAGACTATGTCTGGCACTGCACCAGCACAGGCAAGTGTAACAGAACCATGTCACACGGCTGTACATAAAAAAATTGGAAGGAAGCCAGCCACACACATCCATGTAACTCAACATTGTAAGATAAGCCTTCGTGTTTATCACAGGATAAACTAGACCACAGAAACGGTATCTCAGAGGATGAAAACAGTTTCTAAAACAAACAAACAAAACCCACGAAAAGAACCAAACCCCAACACCAACCCCAAACCAAAAACCACCCACCTTCCACAGCACTATAAAATTGAGAGAAGCCACCATTGCTATAAATTCAGCTAAAGGCAGCATTAAAAAAACAAACACAAAAAAACCAAAAAAAACCCAAACCAAAACCAAACAGGGTTTATTCCACACTTTCATACGATGTGGGCCATCCACAGAACTCGTGCATGGCATGCCTTCCTCGTACCATCAGGTCTAGACTGTGGCTTGAGTGCTTCAAGTATATGCATGCCCACACATTGTGGAGACACATCACCCAAGGTTAATCACCTTTCAGCAAATCCACCCAGAAAGCAAGAGCAGGTATTTTGGTAAGCCTCCTACTCACAAATATCTTAACCAGCAAAACTAGCACATGTCAACTTTGAAATGTCAACTTTGAAATGCATCTACAGAAGCAATGTGACATGAATCTAAAATGGATACACATTATCATGCAATTTGGCTGTTTGGTCCCAAGCTAGTGGTACTCATCACCAATTCAACTGTTAGTACACAACACAACTTGGTTATTAAAAAGAGTATCAGTCCATTTCCTTAGAAAATCTAAATTTTTATTATACATACTGTATTACACTGAAAATACGTACCCAAAGACAGAATATTTTGAATTTACAACTGTACAAAAAAACAATAGAAAACATACGGGCTATGCTATAGATGTAACATTTTACAAAATGACAGTTCTTGTTAAAGGCACCAGATTCCCAGAGGGCTCTGGCTCAACATTTTTTAGTCTTTTTTTCCAGTCAGATCTTACTACGAAAATGTGATTCACTCTTAAAGTGTGTAATGTCAAAGTCTCAAGCTTCTTTCATCTAGACAAGTGGTCTGCACTTTGACACAACTTAGTGAGAGAAGTGACCAATTTCACATGGAGATGTCAAGTAACTACCAAAGGCTCCTCCCCATTGCATCCAGCATCCTACGGTATTAACTGAAAGATTAAATGGCAAAGCCACCAGTGAAAATCAAGTTAACCCACAACATACTGGCCCAATACTAGAGTGTTAACCATAGTAACCCTAGACTGTTTTGTATGGAGATAACGACAGAGCACTTGAGTAGGAAAAAAAAAAAGTTCTGTCAAAAAGGAAGATGGAATCTACAATCCGAACTCTTGCTCAGCATCCTCCTTGGGCTCACCTTCTTCATTACACTCATTTCACTCTTTCTGGTCCTCATGGCACTCATGAAAGAAAATGGAGCCTAAAGAAACACAGCACTTTGCTGTAGGGCAAATTGTTAAAGAAGCCTGGGTATGCACGTATGTGTTCTTTCTCCCCCCCCTCCCCCCCCCAAGAATAAAAAGTTTGGACAGGACAGGGAAAACACAAGCTACTTTCATTACTTCTTTCTCCAGTATTCTATACTCTAAAAATGAAGAAAAGCTAATTCGTATCACGCTAGGCTTGCACAGACAGGTGTTTCTGTACAAGCAAGGGGAAGAGAAGCTGGGACAGCCGAGGTGCCATAACACACTTTGGAAGTTTGGGCCTGCCATTTCCTAAAACTTCATGCTTGGATAAAGGGAAAGAGGAAAGGACACAAACAAAGCTTTAAGAAAACTCTGAACTACTTCTCTGGTCAATCTGTCAGTACATCTGCAAGTCATTCTAGAGTCAACAAATGTTTTTGCTTAATCTTACAGCACACATTGAGCCTCACTGAATAGAATCCAGCTAGCATCCAAGTGACTGAATATTCAAGACAAAAAATATCAAGTTCCAAGGCCAGATTTTGTTCTGTATGCAACAATTCCATTATATTGGAATTTAAATGTTGATGTTGCCCTTTCTGAATTGTCTGGCATTGTCCAGTCCACTTTCAGTCCACTGACTTGATGATTTCATTCTCTGAACCAGAGAGCTCAATGTAGTTTTTACTTCTTACCCTATCATTTTAACAATGTTGCAAAAACTTCCCTTTCTTTAGGCATCTTAAAAGCTTTCTAGATTCACAGATCAAGTTGAAGTAATGCTCTGGTATTGAGGGTCATAAAGTCACTTTTAAAAATAAATTATTTTTGCAGTGTTAAATTGTCTCATCCTAATGACTTAACGGAATTAAAAATATACTCTGCTTCTATTTAAAATTTCAATTTATTGCATATGACTGACTGTACACAAACAGGCCTGGAGACCAACTTTGTTATGCAGCAAATACAAATAGCAGCATGGTTAAGCTTCCTACACACTACTGCACTCAAATGACTCCACTGCATTCTAGAAGGGCTTCTTGAAGAGGGACAGCTGTCTCCATCCCAACAGCACAGGTCCAAAATACAGACTTCTGCAGACTCAGAAATTTAGTGAGGGACCCCCATTAATCTCAAGTAAGCCAAAAGAGCCATCACATAGCAGCTCCTGATCACTACTGAATTGCAGAGTCTTGCATCAAAAATTTATAGTGACAGTACACACCCCTCAAGTCAGCCAATTTTCTACAAGTTCTTTCTTAAAAATTACATTTGGTACTTGCAGCTCATCTAGCAAGCAGGAACAGTTAAGACAGAAGTATCATACATGTTTACAGAAAACTGGTCATCACAAGAAAACTTTAAAAATCTGAATGCAGACAAGAAAAGGAATGTCACTTTTCTTTAAACGTTTCTTTTAAAAGATGAATATTTTCATATTCTGTTGTTAGCCCTTACTGTGTAACATACTATAATCAGATAAGTTTTAACCATGAAAACGCATTCTACTGAACTCCTAAAAACTAAAACCCACTACTCATACTCACTTGCCAGGCTGGTTTCTAGCTGTTCAAAGAAAAATTGCAATCAGAATCACAATCTACATTGCTGCTGAAATGGGATAATTATGTGGAGGAGAGCCCCCAGTGTGACAGTTATATGTAAGTAACTTTCACACTAATACATGCACAACACTCCATAACAGTAGCAGGTACCATCAAATTACTTGCCCACTACAGGAGCTAGAACAGTCTGTATATTTGCTTAAATAAAGTTAAGAAATCTATATTTTTGGTCACATCTTAAAACACTGTAGAACACAGATTTTCTTACTATTTATACTTGCCCTGTCCTGTTGGATAATTTGTTTGAAAAACTAAAAATAAAATGCAATAAAAATTTCCCAATACAAAAGGGCTCTAATGAATCATCTAAGCGTCTTTGTTAGCCTATAAGTGTACTTATGGGATTTGGTCTGCTTTCTTTTCAGAACAAAAGAAAAAGCCTCATTTTGTCCTAAGAGCTCCACTTTAACATGAACCTCTAGTCTGCTCAAGGTACCTCCAGCCAACAATCGTGCTAGTCATCTTTGTATTTCTTCCTTCTAAGAACTATTCCCAACCAAGCACAGCTCCACATACAAGTACTGGCAGACACCAGATGTTTAATCCAAGTCTCTTTCAAATGATGAAACCAAGTCTCCAAAGGATGAACCCTGAACTACGTACATAAGCTCTCTCAATAAATATAAGCTGTATTTATACTATTAAAGCCAGATTATACCAGTGATGTGAACACAGTTATAAAGATAAAAATGTGCTTCTACTAGAAGGGGACAAGTATAAGGCACATTCATATGCCAGTATAATTGTGGCCACAGTAGTGATTATACTGATATAACTACACTGGTAAGAACCACAGCTACAGTCATTCAAAACTTTTTGGATCAAGGCTTGGCAATCAAATACATTATGACTGCTCAACCAAACATAAAATTAACACTGCCTCAAGACAACAAATCTTCCCAACCATCTATATTCAGATATGTGTCACTCAACCATTTCTAGGGCCATTTTTATATTAAGCTGCGATTGATCTTGAGATGTAATAGTTTCACTTCCTCCCAGGTAAGTTATGCTGTTCAAAGGGCTTGCTATGCAAGAGCCGTTGATCAACTTCTACCCTAAGACTTACATGGCAAAGAGCTATCACTTCCAGGCAGTGACAAGCCACCATTACTTTTTCTTGATTTTGATGGGTTTTTTTCTTCACAAAGTTATGATACTCAGTCTCTCTCTATCTCAAATAATGCCAAATATAGATTAACTCATGCTGGGCATGGACACTGACAATATAGCGAGTTAAGAAAGCTGCTCAATCTCATCCTATGACCCAAGCATAAATAAGCTAAACATACAGTGGGTACCATTAGACACTGGACATCTACCACCTGCAATATTTAGTTATACTGCAGCTGAATTACAAAATAATCAAGCACCGACTTGTGGTGCTTTAAATGTCCATTCTTACAATAGAACCCATGTAGCCAAAGAAAATATTTTTACAATAAAGATCTGTGCCCTCATTTAATGGTAAACCGTGAATGACTGTGCATTAGTCTTGTCTTCTGGTACTCAGAAGTAAACTGCTCCCATCTGTAATCTTTCAGTTGTGATCTCCTTTTCCAGCATCTTGAACTGTGGGAAAACAAAAACACACCAACAACAACTTTCCCCCCCTAAGATCACCTTTCCCTCTCCCAAGATTAAAAAAAAAGCAAGTTTGACACCATCATCTCCTGTGTTCACTGAGCCCAGTTAGGTTGAAGAGCCACAACTTCTACTTTGGAGGGTAATAAGAAACGTACACATGAATGCCATTTTGTACAGTTGACATACTCTATGAGCTGGTTGACTCAAAGCTTGATTTGGTCCAGTCTGCTGTTGCTGCATCTCTTAGGAAACATTAGTTATAGGTTTGTACTTCTTGAATCTGGTCCATTCACCAGTAGCATAGTTCATTTCGAAGACCGTATCAACCAACATAGTGGTGCTGCCAGTGCCATCTGCCTTTGGTAAATCTTCTGTATGCTCACTAAGTTTAATTTGGATGATGTCACCTTGCTCTTGGCAAGGATTCTCTGTGAAAACAAAAATAGGAACAAATTATACATTTCAATACTGTATTAGAAAAGGTAAAGAACACTTGATGGAGATTCTTATCTTATGCTGAAAAAAAACAACAAACAAACCCCAAACCCAAAACTGAGCAAGTAATGTCCCTAATACACATAGCCACACAATGATCTTCCTCCCTCCATACATCACAGAGTTTTGAGGATAACAAAACCAGACCTCAAAAGATGAACCTTAAGGCTAAAGTAACTGGAAGAGTAACAGAAGGGGGAGTAAAGCACGCCAGTGTCATTTCTGTCTGCCTCAAGAGCCTTAAGAGAAGCTTATATTTAAATGTGAGTTGGTAAACTTGAACTACCAGAGTTACTTTATTTGGGATACATTTTGTAGTTAAAAGCCTCAACAATTTTCAGCTGTTCTGGAAGCCCAAACAGCTTCACTGAAATCACTCATCCAAGACTCAGTTCCAAGCCCGTAAAATTATTAAATGTTACATATCAAGGTACTGGAATTGGCACTGAAGAAACTCAAGAATATCACAGTTGGAAGTTATTTACTCAACCTCCAGAAGTTGCTGACATTATTACTGAATGAATTCATATTGTTATATACTTATCTATATATGTATATGTGAATATATAGAACACACACACATGCACGCTTCCAAAATAGTATTTTACCTTGCATTACAAGAAACTGTCCATGTAGATACTAAAGTATACCCTCAAGTAGCATCTAGTACTAAGAGCACCATCATTAATGCAAGATACACAAAACTTTCTTAAAGCCCAGGGATCATCACAGTAACTTTACTCTGTTGGTCTTCAATAATGTATTGCATTAATCCAAATGCATGAGCCACATTTAGGCCCCAGCACTCCAGTGATAAGAGCCCTCAAATACCAAATTAGAAACCAGAGCTAGTGCAGATGAGAGTTCACTTAAGGACTCTTAAGCCCCTTCTCATCTTACATCTGATAATCTTCTGGGTAAAACAGCCTTGGTCTATCAAGGCCAATATGTGACCAGATCTAGCTATGAGACAACTTATCTCCCTGTGATTCACAAGCACCTGTAGTTACGAAAAGTCTGAGACAACAGTTGCTACATTTCTAAGGCTAAGGAGTTAGCGAAGAGGCTCTGTACTACCCAACTTGTACCTCGAGTTGCCACGAAAGAACTTACATTCATTGGTCTTCTAGACAGACTACTAGGACCTAACCAGTCTGTTCACTGTTCTAACTGGCTGCCTTGTTTCTCTTCAACCCCTAAGCCAAGATATTACATGTGTTCAGTTACGTATATATTGTGTTTAGCAGCTGTTCTGACAGACTGCTTGACTTAGTGGAAACAGACCCCTAAGACCCATTTCCAGGTCCAGAGTAAAGCAAAGAGTCCAATACATCCAGAGCAAAGCTAAAGCAAGAGTCTTGCAGTCAAGTATGCACATTTAGAAACACTAGGCTGTATTTCAGATTTGGGTATTCAAAAGCACGCTAAATTAATCTCAATACATACCTCTGGATCCTGCCATGAATCCAAGTATAAGAGCCTTTTCTGGCCTTGTAACTTTGTTTGCAGTCTTGAACATTTCCTGTGCAGCATACATTTGCTCCCTCTGCAATAGATAGAACAAATACGAATTCCAGTGGAGGAAGCACTGCCAACAGATACCACATTAATACTCACAGACAAGCATAAAAGAGTAAGGTGGAAGTTTGTAGACCTACAAAAAGTAACAAAAATAGCCTTAGCCTCAAGGCTTTCCCTCTTTAATGCTTACACCTAACACTTACAGCAGTGACAACTGAATTCTGAAACTGGAGAAAAAAAAAAACCCACCCCACCTTTAAATAGTTACAGAAACATGTGCTAAAAGACTTAATGTTCACATTACCAATTTGGTGTTCTTTATGACATTAGGAAGAAAGAAGAAAAAACCCATCGTTTCCGCTACAGTCCAACAAACCCAGGCTTGCAATAATTTCAGAGGAATTTTTTTTTTCTTTAATAAATGAAGTAGAGGTACTGAAAAGAAAGTGTCACCCAGCTTCTTAAAGTTCAGATCTTGCAAGCCAAGCTTACAGATGTGCTTAGCAAAGTCTTCAAATCAGTTGCATCTTGAATTAGTTACCTGCTTAACTTCAAGCATGCACATAATATATACCAACATACCACCAATAAGAAGCTTCAGGACATATATAATTGATGTTGAGTTTAGTTTCCTCCCCACTCTCAGGCTTTAACAAGATGTGTAATGGAGGGGTGATGGGATCAAGAAAGGCTTTCGCCTTAAGATAACATATAGATATCTTTTCTCCTACCACAGCAATGACAGAATCGTTTTTAGCAGCTTACATTATAATGCAATTGGCTGGGCAACAGCTCTGCTGTAAACACACCTTTCTCCCAAATTCTTTATAATGAGTACTGCTATTTGTTATGCAAAATACTGCTGTGTTAAAAAGAGACATCTTACTGTGTCATTAACACTGCACAACTTAAAAGGTTGTGATTAACATTAAGACAGCAATGCTAACAAAGCCACAAAACATTTTCATTATCTTTGGTCATAAAAAAAAGCAGCCTCAACCACTCAATGATCCAAAGGCCAGGAACTGCCAACATACTAAATGAGATCAATAATAAAAGTTTGCGTTTTCCAATCCACATCAAAACCAGCAGTCAAAGTTACTTACTGTGAGAGAGAGGCTTTTTTTCGGTGGTGGCTGTTGCTGAGTTTGGGGGGCCACTTGCGGTGCTTGTGCCGCAGGTGAAATGGCAGGAGGTGTGGTAGGTGTTAGGGGTGAGGTAGGTGTAGCTGCAGGTGGATTAGAGTTACTATTGTACATGGGTGTTCTTTGTTTGAATTGTGCAGGCAGAGTTGTAGTAGCATTTGGAGCTGCAGGTTCTTCAGTCTGTCTGTTAGTCTGCAAGGCCTCTCGTGCAGAGCCAGCTGCAAAAAACAATCAGGATTAAAAACATAATCCACAAACAGGGTTTAGCATCACTAATGGCCTTTAAAGGAAACTAAAAATTCTGATTATTCCATTTTAGCACCATGACTCTATATGCCATCTAATATCTATATGAAAAACTGAAGAGCTAATGCTTTTTCAAATTATCTTTAGCAATAATTAGACAACTGAGTGACTAGCTGTCCAATATGGATTACACCATATTTAGCATCAAGTTTTATGTTTAATGGATATCAGATTTATTAAATTGAAACTGTTCTATTTACTAAAAAGTAATAACAACTGTACTCTGACCCTACCAGGATTATTGCTGTACTGTTAAGTAGAAGCCAAAACCATAAAAATATTTCATCAGTTTTTACCTAATGTAGCAGCAGCTTGCAAAGGAAATGGTAATTAAGTCTCAGCCAGTAACAAATACTGAAAATACACAAATACTTAAACAGATGACAGAGTTAAATGAAATCACTCAGTATTTAAACACTAACTGCTAAGAGAGTTAAAACCCAACAGTATTGACAAGTCCTAACTCTTATTTCTCAAAGTTGATCCATTCACCTGCACTTAAGGGAGTTACTATTCCAAACCTGGCTGCAGGTGGAGGTTACACATATGATCAAGTTACTGTGATTTCGTAAGTTACCATCTGTCCAGCAAACAAGTCATTACCCAGTACACACTCTAGCCAGTTACACTCTTGTAGCTCTCAGACACAGGCACAGCCACTTAAGCACCTTTCACAAATCTCATGAGGTTTAAGCTAATCTGTTCACATTGTGTTCACAGTAGACTAAAAGGCAGATACAGATGAGAGCTATGCTGATGCCTTTCAGATCAAATTTTAGAGAATGACAGGTCTACCACTCTCCATCTAGGCACAGACACAGCACTGGTTTTAACAACATGGCTATTACCCAGTAAGATGTGGAACAGGACAGTGAACACTTGGGAGGACAAACATTTGTAACTAGTTAGCCCTTAATTTGTACAAAACCCTTAAGTTTTATTACTGGCTTCCTCATATCAGAATAACTGACCTGCATAAAGTAACATGTCTTAATTATGCGACCTCAGATTATGAGACACCAAATCTGTGGATCTTCTGTGTGCATCTTGTATTAAGGAAAGTTTTATATTCCTTGTCCATAAGAAAAGCTAGATACCCCATACTCCAAAAGGAAAAAATAAGTTAGAAAAAATAGAGAACAAAGACAATAGAGAATTCTAAACTAGGCTTTTTCTGCTGTTGAATACAATGCCAAGGCTCTGGAAAATAATACTAGCTGCTAACACTGATGTGCTCTTGGCTGCGTTCCTTCTGAGGATGCCAATTTTCTGCCAGAAAAAGATTTGCATGGACCTTTAGAGAGATTCTGAACTGTTTCAGGGCCAAGTGAAGTGATCAGGTTTTGCATTTTTCTATAGTGACCAACATGCCAAAGCTCATATACATGAAGACAAACATTACAGTACCAAATCACAACAAGCAAGAATAAAAATAATGCACTGAACTGAAACATTAGTTCTCTGTTAACTACGAGGTCTGGTAATAAATCCCAGTCATGCACATGTGTTAGTGCAAACTGCTACATTCCTTTAAGACTTTACATGCAGCAAAGAAGGAAAAGTAAAACCAAGCGTGTTAAAATAAAATAAAACCTGTAGAAAGAAAGGATTTGTACAAACGCTATTTTTTACTATAGGCGATTTTCTAGAATTGAAAATAATGTAGCACTTTTCAAAATATGCAGAAGCTCAGCTATTATCTGTCAGACTGTTATAAAAAGGTAAAAGGAAAATGGATAGCTTGATCCCAGCCTGTGTGAAAGGTAATATGTACTTGCCTCTAGAAACGTATCCGACTCTTGAAAGCAACTGTTTTCTAAGTGCATGCATATGGATGTGTGTATGGAGTATATACTCTAGACTTCTGTGTATTACTGGTGTCTCTTTAAGGATTTAAAAAACCACTGGATTTTCTATTACAGAGTAAGAAAAAACACACCAGTAAATTGCCTTGCTTGCTTGACTTAACTAGCAGTCATTTTAAGACTTAAAACCGACAAGGATTTTCTTTATTTAGGTTAAATGACATGTCTGGTTACCCCAAACCCAAAGGCTGGGTTCCTGCAATGGATTTTTAGACTGCTAAGGTTAAGTTTCACTAGAGTTGAGGGATAGTAGGTTTGCAAATAAAAGAAGAGCTAGACAGTAAAACTATAGAAATGGGAGGTATTAGGTCCCAAAAGCAAAAAAGTGTCTTTTACCTGGCTGTGTTTCAGAGCTTGGGATATATGAGGAAGATGGCACCACGCTGGGGGTAGCAGGTAAATAACTTGTAGAAGGTAGTGCAGGCTCATTGTTCAATGAGCCAAGCTTCTGTAAAACAGAAAAGGAAGTGTTATAGACATACTGCATATATTCGTATGCTGTTTCTGCATTTTAAATACAATTTGAACATTAGTTCTGCTACAATATTCCTTTGGGGAACTTAATTATGGACTCGTCTTGTTAGGGCAAGTTTGCCCTTTCAACCCTAACTCCCTATACAAACTTCAGATGTTAGAATTAGCCTAGGAGAGAAAAAGCAGCTTTATTTCCCCTAATTCAGATCAAAGTTGCATCCAAAGGCACAGTCTGAGCCAGGGAATAATACTATTATGGAGAATGTACTTCTGCAAGGAGAGTCAAGCTGCTGTTCCTTTGTCCCATTCCTTAGCTGGTAGCATGGAGACCAGATGATGAAATTTGCGCAGATAGTGCTCTCCAAAGAATTACACTATAGAAATAAGTGATCTTCTGCCTGAGCAAACATGCTCTTCACTATTAGCAAGCAGAAACCTGTGTCCATCCATGGGCAAAAGGCCTACTAAAATATCACCCAGAGGAATGCAAAGGTGTCTGGGACATAAACACACAGAAGGCAGCAGTAAAAGCACAGGTTTCCACTGAAACAGGCAGTCAACACCAACATGACAGATGTCATCTAGAATCAAGCCAAAGAAAATGCCACATTTTGTACTTAACTATACATAATATTGCACACACAGTGTAAAGACAACTTGGTATCTCTGTGAACATCTTCACTTTAGTCCAATCCAGCCTTATAAACATAAGGGGTTGACAAAGGAAAGAAGTTTTGAGGGAATAAGTCTAGAAGACAAATCATTTAAGGTAGTGTCATGGTTTAACCTCAGCCAGCAAGTAAGCACCACACAGCCACTCACTCACTCTTCTCCTACCCAGTGGGATGGGGGAGGAAATCAGGAAAAGTAGTAAAACTCATGGGTTGAGATAAGAACAGCTTAATAGAACAGAAAAGAAGAAACTAATAATGATAATACTAATAAAATGACAACAGTAATAATAAAAGGACTGGAATATACAAATGATGCACAGTGCAATTGCTCACCACCTGCAGATCAACGCCCAGTTAGTCCCCAGGCGGTGATTCCCCACCCCCACTACCCCCAGTTAATATACCGGGCATGACATCACATGGTATGGAATACCCTGTTGGCCAGTTTGGGTCAGCTGCCCTGGCTGTGTCCCATCTCAACTTCTTGTGCCCCTCCAGCTTTCTCGCCAGCTGGGCATGAGAAGCTGAAAAATCCTTGACTTTAGACTAAACATTACTTAGCAACAACTGAAAACTTCAGTGTTATCAACATTCTTCTCATACTGAACTCAAAACAGCACTGTACCAGCTACTAGGGAGACAATTAACTCTATCCAAGCTGAAACCAGGACAGGTAGCCTTACTAGACAGAAGCAAGATGGATATTCTTTAAAATGCGGAGCTTGCCAGAAGAGGTACTCAGCATCCTGCAGAAAGATAGGCAATGACCTTCACTCCTGACACAGGCCCACCAACATCTGCCTCTATGTTGTTTTTGGCACATATGCCATAGATTGCTACCCCCATAACCATGGGACCAATATTGTGTGTGCTTACCATTAGGCTCTAGAGGAAAAAATGCCTGGCTCACCAATCAAACCACAGGTCTGAAATAGAGCGCTCTCCAAAGGCAAGCATTGCATGTCAACACATGGACTTAAAGAGGCAGAAGTAATTGTGACCACTTTAAATTTGGAACAAGAGAAGACAGTTAAGATTTGAGATGGATTTCTATCATCTTGAGAGGCTTGCAAACACTGGGTGCAGCAGCCTCAAATTATCTGTTAGTATCTAAAGAACCCAGTTGTCCAAATTAATTCCAGACCAAGGCTTGCTGGAATAGAACAGACAGTTTCTAACTCAGAAGTGGGGGCAGGACCTAACATTCTTGTAAAAGCTATGTCCTGACTGAGAAAACAAAGATGCATCACAGCTTTTCCAATGCACTCTATCTGAAAGAACAGGAAGAAAACACTACACACAACTCCTCCCCTCACCTCCTCCCCCGCCCCCAATTGAACTACCTCTAGCAACAGGCTAGCTTTTTCCATAGATCCTAAACAACTTTTGGAAATTAAAAAAAAAAAAAAAAAAAAAAGACTGTTAAGAGAAGGAGAGGCCACCTCTGAACTTTACAGGTTTTAAAAAGCACAAATTTATAAGCCATGGGGTAATTTCGACAGAGATCAATTCCACTGTATTTCTCCTTCTCTTTCCATAGTAATGAGACTGGCTAAGCCTAGTTACCGACAGGTTTGGAAACCTCAGAAAAAGCTGCCTTCTGGATTAAGCACCAATTCTCAAAGATTACAAGCTAAAAATGGAGGAAAGTATCACAGAAGGGAACTAGCATGTAGGTTCTTTTCTCAAGTCAGAAGACAGATGAATTGTAAAGACTTCTTTCTTACTTGGCTGTTTATATTCAGCTATCCCGCCTGGAAATAGGCCAATGATAAGTGCTTCTCGCTGAGACTTCTGTGGACACTATTCCACTAGAGTCACAAAGGATGCACAGGCACAGAGTGAAACCTGCAGAAACTCCCAAAAATGATTCTACCTCTCTAGGGTCAGAAATCCCTCCTATCCTTTTCATCTCTGACAGAAGACTACAATCCTCAGTTACAGAAATGTCATACCCCATCACAAGCTTAAAATAGCAACAAGAAAACAATCAAAAACTTTACTTTCATCCTGCTTTGAATTTTTTATCCAGTTTGGTGAAAATATAATGGAATTTTGAAGTAATTATGTAAGATTTTTAAATTAAGAGGCATGTTTCAACAAGTTAATAAAATATCATTAAAATGTTTAAGTGTTTTAGAATAATCACACATAATGATTTCCTCACCTTTTGTTTGTTTGTTTGGTTGGTTTTTGTTTGTTTTGGTTTTGTTTGGTCTTACCTGTGTAGACACAAGGCCAGCAGCATAATCTGGGGTAGCATTTTCTACTACTGTTTCTTCTTTGGCTTGCTTTTCCACAACTTCTGTATCTATTGCATAAAAGCAGAAGTCAGTTCAAGGAAGTTTTTTTAAATATTGAATTAGATATACTTTTTCAAACAAAGATATAAAAATGCATTTCTCAAAGTCCACTAAAACATGCTTAAAGAGGTATATGCTGAAATGTTGGTAGATACAGTAATCTTCATACACAAGTTTATAATCAACCCAATTACAAACTGAACCACAATGTATATCCATCAAGACACAGTAACCAAGTAATTAGGTGAACTGGCTAATTTTGTGATATTAGAAAGCATCAAAACCCAAGCAAAAATATAATTGCAATTATGATTTTGTTCTGAAATGGTACTCATTTTTGTGGTGACAAATACAAAAAGGTTGTTTTGGGGCAAATATGCTGCCTAGTGTATCTTCAAGAGACAGTTAAGTAGACCACTGCACTGTCACTTAACTTAAGAGCAGTATATCAGATATTATTCACTTGTTAAGATCTCTCAGTCAGAATTTTGGAGAGCACTATAAATATTTTCAACATTACTTTCAATTAATTTACTTGGCCACAGAGCCAGTAGAAATAAGCATACCAAAATATGTCAGACCAATTCCACTACTGAAGCCACTCACACACCTGTGTGCTGCCCAAAGCACAACTGACTAGTTCAATCCTTTTATGCAACTGAGTCAAGTTATTACCTAGGCACATGGCAATACAATTAGGAGCACTAAAGCATTTTTGGTTTGGGTTCCCCCCACCTTTTTTTTTTTTTTTTTTTTAAAGTTTAGCTGAAGGTAAGTTTTAACAAATGAAGAACAAAATGGTACTAAAAATCTAGATCCTATCTAGATGTATATTAACAGCCTTTGTAAGTAGCATGCTATACCAACCTAATGTCTTTCTTCTTCTCTTTGCTTCACGGCCAGCACCTACCATATCCAGCTCAGAGATATCTAGAAGCTAAAAAGAAAGACCATAGAGAACTTACTAGCCATTGTTAAATTTATGTAGTTGATCTCTAAATATTGTCCTTTATTTTTTCTTTAATATATTGATACTTGATTCAAAACAGAATCAGAAATTCACTTTAGATCAGGGAGGAGAACTAAGCAGAAAAGCAACAGACTACAAAAGAGTGCACCCACCTTCACTCCTCTTTCTTTGCGCAAAGGTGTTCTTGAAGGAGGAATAGGAGTTCTGTTTCCAGAAGGACTAAATACACTAGGTGCTGAAGTACTCCTGAATGGAGCTTGTTTTGGTATTCCTTTGAGTGGTGCTTAGGGAAGATCAAAAAAGGCAACAAATGTAATATACATTTAATTAGTTATGAAAAACAATAATAAGGAATTCTTCAGTTTCTCCTCTTAACACACATACCCCTTCCACTTTAGCTTCAAATGTTTATAATGTGGAACTGTCTATAATACACAACATGTCCCTGAAAAGTCAGATTAGGTTTTACCCTTCAAACAAGGAGTAAGAGCCAATCTCTAGGCTAATGTTTGCAACCCTATTCTACACAGAGTAATCAAACAGGTGCACTGCTATCAAAATAATGTTTTGCTATATAGATTGATGCTTTCCTTACTTATAACAAATAAACTCTGACCACATAAAAAGGTATTGGGCATGAATGTTCTGAATCCAATTATTGCCAAAGTTGCTCATTGAACTTTAAAATCTAGTTACTTGGTAAAACTGTATTCAATCAAATATTCTTAGACAAGCTTCTGCAGGGCTAAGGGCTCATAATCTAATGGAAAGGTAAATTACTGCTTCACAAAGGGGCTTGAAATTGTGGAGCTGCTGTTTGCACAAGGAGGAGGATCCAATTTGGGTCCATATTGCAAACAGAAAACCTGCTGTCTCAATACTCAGTAGAAACTGTTACACCTGTAAGAGGCTGTTTTCCCCCAACTTTACACTGTTATCCTTCTACTTCACACTTAATGAAAGTGCTGAAGACCACATTCTTTCACCAACTGCTAAAAAAATTAGCGACACCTATACATTATCTATCAGGTCTTTTAGCCTCCTGACAATCTCATCATACCCTACAATTTGAAGACAAACACGGAATTTTACTTTGAGGTTACATACTCTGTATCCCTCTATATGTTGTACTGAAAACCTTTTCACCATAGGACAATCCTCTCTGAGCAAAGTGAGTAAGTTTCAGCAGAGTAAACATCAGCTGGTCCCATAACTGGTATTTCTAGAGACCACCTGGTTCTAAAGGCCAAGTCTAAAACTTTGCTTTACTAGTTCAATGGCTAAAAAGAATGCCAAGAAGAATTAATGCTCAATTTCTATACTGGCACAATTTTTAGTTTGAATTACAACTACACTTTTTGCATTTCCTGCATGAACATCTGGCCAAACTTTGGTGCTCAAAACCACATTTTAAATAGCATCAAAGTACTTCATAGCTTCTAGCCACCACATCAAGAAATCACTCAAGTTTTACACCTCAGCATCATACTGGTGGTCAGAAAAGTAATACCTGTGCAGTGATTTAAAGTATGTAACTAATTTTGAACCCTCCTCTTGCTCCTAGTCAAAAACTTATTTGAAAAATTCAAGCAGTTCAGGAACTTCAGCAATCAGCTGAAATCTACGAATGCAAAGTTGAAGAATGATTATACATCTTTGTCATGCCCATTGACTAGAAGTCACTGCACAGCCTTGGCTGCAGAGAGCACGCTGTCCCCTCTTCTTTCTCCACACAGAATTACACAAATACACAACAGTTTCAGTCTACTTCACAGCATTTCAAAGAGCACAGCAGATTACTGTGATCCACTCTGCTCCCTTTCGGAGCAGCACAGCTTAGTCAGAAGTTATTCCTGGAGTGATGCAAATTAAATTCTTACCGAAGTCTATAAGCATGATCTAGCTGTGTACATTTTAGAAGCACGGCAGATATACTTGTCATTTAAGAAAAACCCCACACTCTTGTTCTTTCTGACAAGACATGTCAGAAACATTTAAATATCAGGAGAGAGGAGGCAGAAAGGGAGAAATGCTTTGCTTAAAAAAAAATTAAGTTTTTGTAAAAACTAGACTGTAATTTTATTCTTCATCAAGGCTACTTAATCAGATTTTCTTTCTGGGAAGTGATGAAAGTGAGTCATACTTGTGGTATCTATCTTTTTGACCAGTCCCCTGCCTTTGGCATGGAAAGGCACTCCTGCAGTCTTCTTAAGTTGTTGTGCAGTTTCTGTTGCTAAAAAGAAAAAGGGCTTTAGTTATTAAAGAATCTGTGCTGGAAAAATACAACACATTGCTTCTTAGATAAAACGTTATTAACCAATACATTAAAAGATGGGAATAGCAACAAAGAAAGAATTATATTTTAATTAAAACCCAGGTCATTTATGCGATATAAACACAGTATTTGGAGAAAATGCAAAATCAAGATGACTATGCAACTGACAAGATGGTCTAAGCTAAAAGAAATTATCAGAGTAGACAATCTACTCAATAGAGACTGAATTAAAGAAAGTTCTATATAACACCATAAAATTTTACAAATCTTGTATTTAACCAGACCAACTACTCAAGTCACATGCAAGAAAGAAGCAAGCTGCTGCAACAGAACAGCAGGTACAGTAAACTATTTTAAGATTGCTTAGTTCAAGCAGCTACTAATACATATATATACACACATGTTGCCTTTTGTTAGCAAAAACCCTCTTGGCTTTCACACCCTATATAGCCATACTGAGCAAAAGAGAGCATTAATTAGCAGCTCTTGCTCCCTGTTGCAAAAACATATGGCAAAATAAAACTAGGTTCTCATTTCAGTTTTGTTTCAGGAGCTTTAACCAAAGCTGTCCCTCACAAGTCTTCACAACTGACTGTTAAATATACCCATGAGAGAATGTATCTGTGCTTTAAAAAGCTACAGCTTTTTGTATGCCTTGAAATCTGAACAGCATTTAAAACAAAATTAGCATTTTAATGTAATCATGGCCAGAATGACTTGTACCTGCTCTTCCACACATATCAGTCTATCAAAGAAAAAAAATCAGCCAGCAAAGCTCTTATAACAGAAAATTTTAATGTATATCCACATACTAGAGAATAAGACTGAATATAAGTTTCCTTTCACCATTTAATTTGTTACTCAATCTTACCAACTAGCTGTAATACTACTTACACTTCTGCAAGAGTTCAGCTCTGAGTGTGGCACTTTTAGGTTTCCTTTTCAGCTGGAAGTGTTTTACTGGGGGAGTAAGTGGCCCAGCTAGTGTTGTCAAGGCATTTTTGTTTAAGTATTGGCATTCCAACGGCAACATAGCTGAAGTTTCACATTCACTTACTGCATAAAGAGTTAACACAGTACACACAGGTATTAGCACCTCTTTGATAGCTAATTACAAAACATTTTACAACTAGACTGTACAGGTGTTTTTAAATTTTAGATTACTTGTTTAAACACCAAGAGTAATTTAGTTCTATTAGGATTTTTGTTAGGATGTTTGTTTTTTACATTAGCTTCGTAACAGCTTCCACATTGATTACACCTAATCAAATTACAGGAATCTTAAAGATGCTACTATTGTCAAAGAAGATAAAAATGATTGAATTCTCAGAGTCCTTAAAAAATTACACATAAAAAAGAAACTACTAAACGAAAAGTCCAAACCAAAAGCGTGAACAGACAAATGATCATTTGTTTATCATAAGAAAACAAAATGCTTCCACCTCCAAGTCATTTCATTATTGGTTTGCTGCAATCCTAACTCCAAGACCATGTCTGTCCGTTGATGCCCAAGGGCTTTTTCTAGGCAATGTGTTAAATCAAATCCACTGAAGTAGGAGTAGGTTTGCATCACCATTTACTACATTGTTGAAAGCAGCAACTGTGCAAGTGCCTGAGCCAGTATTTTCAGCTTCTAGGCAATCCATAGCTAGTCAAACATCAGCAGCATAACTCTTCTTGTGATCAGTCTCCCCCACAGCACCTATCATTTGCTGCCTAGAGGAGAACTTCCAGCAGAGATGCACCCCACCTGCCCGATACAACAGTGGTGCTTCCACACACACGAGGCTGTTCACACAAGCACTGCAGAAACAGAGCCTTACTATCTTCTCTGGTACTACAACATAGGAGACAGAGCAATATATGAAAAACCTCAACTTACTAAGATGCAGTACGTCAGTTATTACCTATCAGTGCACATACAGCCTGTCTATGATACTGATGAATCATACTTATGGGTATAACTTATGGGTTGCCCTTCACATTCAGGGTAATACCTGACATGTAAGTTCTGATGATGTGTGAAAAGATAATTTAAGAAGTTACTATTCCTCAAATATCACAGTTCCCAGTCCAGTAACATGCCAAGTCATGAACTGTGGTAGTTAAGACATACTACTTGTCCTGATACCAATACTGTCAAGACAGCAAGACTGTCCGTGAAATGACAGGTTATTTCTGAAAACAGGCATCATATTTCTGTAATTTTCACCAACAGAAAAGGCTTACCTTTTTCTCTAAGCTCTCCTAAAATATCTTGAACATTGGGATTCTGTTCTTCAAGATCAAGGTTAAGGGAGCCAGTATCTGGAAAGGATTTTAAAATATCAGCTACCATTAAGACCCAGGGGTCTGAATCCAAGGTAGCGAGCTGGATAATTTCAGTCAGTGCCCCTTTCATCTAACAAAAAAAGAAAAAGAAAATCAGCCAATTGGAAACAGTTTTAAACATCTTATAGTTGGATATTTTTATTTTAAACAGACACTAGCATAAACATGCACAACATTTTACTACTGGGGAAGGGAAGAGGGAGACTGCTTCAATACAGTTACACATTAACTCTAGAACTCAGTAAAGAATGAACCAAGATAAATTTTTTTTATATTGCTTTCGGTCAATCTAACCCAAGTTTGTTTTGAGCTTTTGGCAACTCGAAGCTTTGTTTAGCACTGAACATTTTTGCTAAAAGCAACAGGCCAGATTCTTACATTACTGTCTCCTTACATTCTACAGTTTTACCCCCAGTGCACCCACACCTTATATTCAGTGATAAGAATATGCAACTAGAATACAAGTTATTCAGTACAGGCATCTAAGTGAAGATGTGCCCCTTTCTGGGCTACAGAATAATAAAGCAGACAGACCATATCTGCATCATATGAACATAAACTAAGTCCTCAAAATTTTACTAAGGCTTAGGCCAAAATAGTGTGTTTCATGCTAATCAAAACTGTATTGTTTGACAAAAACTACATATTACAGAAGTAGACTCAGCCCTCTAATATGGCACAAGTAACAAGATTTTCCATCTACCCAAAGGTTCTGTAGTCAGAAAAAAGTTTTTTTTCTTTAAGCACCTATCTTGAAAATGGGGAAATAATGCATGAGATTAACTTAAAAAATTTCATCGTCACAGTAATTTTTTTTAGTTACTGATCAACATGTCTGTTGGCACTATGAAATGAAATAAAAATCAAGGTGACTACAGTCAGGGGTTTACATAGTGAATCTCTTAAATTAGTTGTTTTACTTCATTCACAGATAAGCTTAAATCCCCCAAATAAGACTGAACACTTGCTTTTTTTTCCTAAGTAAACTTTCATGGAACCATTAAAGCATTAGCTTCACAGAACTAAGACGTTTGAGGTGTACTGTTCATCTATCAAGCCACAAAATGTAACAGTAAAATTATGTCTTCAGACATACTCTATCTGTATGGTATTAACACTCAAGAATTTACAAACAAGTATAAGGAAATACTCGAATTCTGATTTTTTACAACCCATTGTGGCACATATAGTTTAGTTACAGTCTACATGTTTCTGAACACAGGGGGACAAGCAAGAGACCCATCTTCACCTTTATGCTGTATTTCTTTCCCTTTATTTAGAACCAGCCTTTTCTCATATGAAAGATAACAAAATAAGCTTACTCTAACTTATGCAACTCCAAGAAATAAAAGTTAAATTTCTGCTCTCCATTTTTCTCCCCAAGCACTTTTAAAGCTCAGAGGCAGACAAACATTGACATTTCTCAATTCCTTTCACCCACACAATGTTATCACCCTCTCACTTTAGAAAGGTTTACAAGTGCACTACAGGGGGCAGTTTGTCCTTTAGCCCTTGCATGTTTTAGCGCTCACATAGTGTACTTGTGAAACAAACAGAATCAGCTCATCTAACCTAAAACTAGCATCTCTCTACAGCTTTAAGCTTGATCAGCCCCTTGGTGTGGCTGACTAGTCACACGAACACTAGAACCACAGAAAGAGTGGAGCAGAAAGGAGACACTACAACAGTCATTTAAGCATCTTCAGCAGCGCTATTGATTTGCTTTGGATTAAACTGGCCACATAACCATGACCACACATTGTTTAAGTGGTGTCAAATTTAACCAACATTCACCCAATGGAGAGAATCAATTTCTAAGGTTCGAGTCTTTGTTGTTCTCTATTGCTCATTTCTTTTCTCAGTAAACATAAAAAACCCACCTAGACTCCACACAGACCTGTCAATCTCTCTATTCTAACCCTAAACTGCTCACCAGAAGTCACTTCTACAACAGTGGATGAGGACAAGCGTGAATACTATCGAAACAAAGTCCTTTATTCTTCTATCTATCTATAGTAATTACACTATTGATTTACGTAAAACACCTGAAAATTTAAAACATGCCATGAAAGCTGATGAAGCTATGGTTTATTTATAGCTCTTTTACAAGCTTTTATCTGGACACCACTAATGCACCTAAGTGTATAGAATACAATTTCCTCCATCAAAGCAAGCTCAGGCAATAGTTGAAGGAAAGATGCCTCCTGTATCCTCCAAATTTACCCTTCATATCTGCTCCACAAAACTCCTATTTGTCCCAGAAATTCAGAGCTACATGCGTATACTATGTATTTTCCTATGGAGCTCTTTTCTGGGCATGTCACATCCACACTGCTCTCAGGGCAGCTAGAGTTCAGGCAACCTACTTATGCCACAACCCACCGATTCACATGACTTTTGTTCCTTCAAGAAAGGAGGCCAGAAACAACTTGTTTGCCTAGCACTAGGCAAATAACATTATCACAAGGTCTCATGGCAGAAAGAACATGGTGAAAGAACAGTCACTGTCTCACGCAGGAAAGAGAAGCACACTAATATGTACTGCAAGCTAACCAGAGACCTTGTCTGAATACGGGTTTGCATTTAACAAGCCTGGATTTGAGTTTTGACTCAGGTTTGTCTCTGAATGGCAATTTAAATCTACGTTCCCAGTTCGCTGTTGAACTGGCAGCTGAAAAAAAAATTTCATTTGTGGTTTGAGAATGCATGAAATGCAACTCAAAATAACAAGAGAATCCTACATACAGTTTTTCTGTTACTTTACAGAGCACAGCCATAATCCCGAGCTCTTAATTGCATAAGATTGCAACACTGGGTCAGTAAGAGTCCCATCAGCTCCAACCAGTTTCTCGTTAAGCATGAATGTCGATCTGATACAACATGTTCTGGTATTTCTCTCATGTAAAACTTAAAGATCTTAAGTATTTTTCTCAGCCTACTGGCACAAAAAAAAAAAGCATAGGGCACAACTAGAAACATCTAACAAGAAAGGATCAGGCAGGATGGAAAAAGTCTGGGAACAGAGACAAAGGAGATTAATAATGGTTGTGCAGGAAGAATACACAAACAGCACCGTGGGAAGGGGTAAAAAAAGGAAATGTTACTAGAAACACACAAAGTGATAGCTCCAAGATGACTTCTTGCAAAGAATTCCCATTCATTTGCTTTATAGTATGCCTAAATAAATAATATACATTACTATACCTTTAGACAATTGCATCAACAGTTGGCTAATAAACCCAATCAAGTTTCAGACTTTCAGGGGCAATACAGGTGATATTGAATAGGTATCTGTATTCTTATAGAGCATTTTCATTAAGCTAAAAGCATTGGATTGAAAGTACAGTATCAATATTTACATGACACAAAACTAGGATGGATCAAATATCGCTATTGTATATGTTTTATATTTTAATCATGAAAAAGAGTAGAAGTGGCCAAGAGTAATATTAGATTAAAATGTACCATATTACATCACAAAAATTAAGAACACTAAATGCAGGCCAGAAAGATGCATAGCAGTCTGCCTGTTCTGAACACAGAGGGAAAGGCAAGTGTCATGTGCTCTCTTTATTCCTTTGCACTAGTACTCCACAATTCACACTTGCATGAGTAGAGGACTCCTGTTTCACATAAGCAAGCAAGAAGAAACAGTATTGACTTTTACTCTCTTGCAGCTACTGTAATAAAAGGGCAGGCCACCATGAGGATAGGCAGCATCTTCCTCTCAAGATAATTCAGAGAGCACAGAAGCACACAGTCCTCATTACAGACTTGGTTGTAACATCACAGTCTAACCCTGAACAAATAAATTAAACATTGGCACAAAAAGAAAACTTGCACTTGCCATTGTGAATCAGGTTAACAAGAATTTAACATACAAAACAAACAGAAGTAATTATTCTGCCAAATCACAACTGAAACTCCGGTCAGCACGACACAGAGCTTTCGGCATCATTTCAAGTAAGTGCAATTATCTAGAAAAAATTTAGCAGATGAAAAGCTGGGGGGCAGGGAGATTCAAAAGTTAGCAAGTTCTGCCCAGAGAATTACAGCTGGAAAGGGTATTTTTGATAACTGCTTACAAATCACAGTTAACTTAAAATGAAAATGGGGGCCAATTATTCTTATTAGTCAGTGGGAACAAACAAGTAGTAATGAGGTTCACAGCATGATAAAAAATTAGGTTTATTACCTATCCCACAGGAGTATTATGAGGATTAAGTCACTTATATCTATACAATATTTGGAGTGTTGAATGAAAACATTATGAAAATTGAAGGATATTACATCTGAGAAAAAAAACACTTAAGCAAAGGACTGAGCTTTCAAGAGAGCTCATTGAAGATTGACTTGTCTAGACTGAAGCTTTCACAGAGATTTAGAAAGGACCAGCAGCCAATTAAACCCCTTCTAAACCAAATACCACCACACTTCTTGATTCCCACATAACTTTTTACTCAGATGTCTGCTCCCAAATAGTTTCCATTTTATTCTATGCCTCAGTGAAAATGGTATTATACAGAAAACATGGGAAAAAAAATTTTTAAAGAGAAAATAACTAAGTCCAATCTGTTATCTAGAGAGGGGTATATCATTTAACATGTTACTTAACAAACCAGTAACATATCCTGCACCCACTATCGAGATTCCCAAAGCTTTACAGAGCTGATGCAATATATTTTCCAATACTATTAAGTTTCCAAATGCCAACTCAGTGCTTCTCACACATGATCAATACAGACGGGCACATGGCATGGAAAACATTGATATGACTTTCCAAAGAGACTAATGAAGCACTTTCACAGTTAAGTTTAATCATTTTTCAGATACAGGAGTGATTTCCAAATGATGAATTTTACTTCCAAGAAGCTACAGGTATCCTGTACTGGTGTATTTCCGCTAGCAAAAAGACACCATGTTCAGCACTCCACAAAACACTGGGCAGAGAATACTGTAGAGAAGTACACAGCACAGTGCAGATATATTGAAATATATATATAAAAAATGTTCTGGGTATCATATGTAAGATGCCAAATGCCAGTTAAAATATCTAAAATCTCTACAGTAAGTTACATAACAAATCTTCACAAATACAACCTATTTTAGCAAACTTGCCACAAGTGATGAGTATCTGATAAGACAACATCCCTTTCTCTCAGCTGTTTGGTTACACTGGCTATTTTTACCATTTATAGAAGGAAGTCTATAATGATAATAGCAGACCTACTTGCAGTGTTAAGGGTGTCTGCCTCGTAAGTGTTTCATTTTTAACCATTTTTTTAAGCCCTTTCTCTCAGTTAAAAAAAAAAATAAATCACAAGTCCCTGAAATAATTAAACTGTTACAGGTACTTTGCAAAGGACTGAAAATATGCTAAATCCCTAGATCTTGATGAAGTGTGCTCTGTTTACAATGAAAGATTAAGTTTGATTGAATTCATAAACTCTGCCAGAGAAGTGAAAAATCCGGCAATATTTTTGTTACAGCAGTAACAAGAGCTTTATATTTGGAATGCAACTGATCACTTTAACAATACATTAAAAGGCACACTTGCTCTTCTTTACATACACTTTATCTCCATGGCTAACAAAAGTACCAATCAGGTAAAGTCACTGGTTACCATCTTCCTCAGAATCAGTTTAAAAAGTTCTTTTACCCACCCAGTGAACACTCTCACAGCATTTCAACAAATTGTTCCAGCCAGCTTGAATTCTGCTCCCTCAATGAGCTGGCATGAGTGTTATTTATGAAGGTCCCTAAGCTTTTTTAAGCTCTTTTCAATCTAAAAACATCACCAATTTGTTAGCTTTTTCTAAACATTGCAATACTCATTTCTTCCAGGCTACTTGGATTTTCACACGACTTCAGAAGAATTTTGCTTACTCAAGAGTTCACATGAGCTTATGCGTAGTTCCCCATCCCCCTTTCTGGCCTTGGTTATTTTGTTTGTCCAAAACACAACTGCATTTGTCACACACAAGGAAGACAGCTTGTGCACTGAACAGGCACTAAACATGAATATAATGTTTTAAAAATTACAGCAAGCATGCTGAACAAGAATTTTTTTTAAAGTGACACCAATTACGTGTAACACAGTGAACAATCATACAGTTGCATGTGGCAAGACAGACACTGATATGCACTAAACTATTGCTTAAGCGTGATGCTTGTGCATTTTCAGCTTAGAAGTAAACAGAAACTGAGCATACAATAATCAAAGCTACATACCATCTCCCCAAACCCTGCCTAGTATATACGTACATTAAGCCTAAGCAGCAGCTGTGCTCTAACCAAGAAAGAGACTGGTGCAAGCACAGCTGAGGATACTCTACACAAGAAGCTGAGGATTAACTACGCACGACCTCCATGATTGTTACCAGGAACCAATACCATACATGGTGGAAGTAGGAAAGGAATTCCTTGAGCCTGGCTGAAGAAACTTAAATGTTTCCCAGTCATTGTCTAACTATTGCCCCAAACATCAGTAGCCACCTACTGGTAAGAATAAGCCAGCTGCAGATGAGGTATGGTCCAGGGCCAAGTGAATAAGCTTGCAGAGCCAGCCAGCTTATTAGCTAGGGTAGGACAATAAAGGAAAGCACCAGCTGTTCCCAGAAAGGTAAAGAGAAGAAAGAAAAAAAAAAAAAAAAGCATGGCAATTTTCCTCAAGCAAGACCTGACTACAAGAAAGTGGGGAAAAGCACTGTTCAGTGCAGACCCCAGATCTTCCATTCCCAAAGTTTCAGCACTTGCTGCTGTCCTTCCTAAAGGCGAGATGTTTGACTTGGGACACCTACACAGCTGCCAGTATTAAGGAAGGAGAGTGAATGAAGCCTAACACACACAACTGTTCCTAAACAATCCTGCCTCTCTGTCCTAATCCTAGAAGGACCGCTGCCTCAGACAAGCCCTCTTCCCCAAAGGCACCCAAACTGTATCAAAACACAGCCCTACAACTACGAGTCCATGTGGATGTGCAAGATGGGTTTTGGGTCAAAACCACTTTCAGAAGACCAGTGCCAGCCAGAGATTCCCCAAAGAGCAGGAGGAGGAACAGCAAAGCTTCTACTCCACTCCCTTATCACGGGGAATCCGATCGCTTTTCCCCACACCAACGACCCAGTCCTCCGAGCCGGGCCTAAACGGACCGCTCAGCCAGCCGAGACCTCCCTCCTCCTCCCCGTCCAAGAAAGGCTGCAAGGGAGAAGCGGGGATGTCTGGGGGGAACCGGCCTCGCTATACACCCCGCGCCGAGTGCGGGCGGGCACCTGCCCTTGAGGAGCAGCCGCTGCTCCTCTTCCCCCCCCCCGCCCCACGGGCTGCCGCTCCAGCCGCCCGCCGGGCCGGAGGGGGCAACGCGAGGCCGCACAGCGCTTCGCCCCGGGGTCTGCCCTCCCCACAGACTCCGTGTGAAAAGAAAAGGGCGGAGGGGTGGTGGTGTGGGCTGGCGCTGACCCCCCCCCCTCTTTCTCCCCTCACGCCATCTCAGACCGACCTCTCCCCCTCACACACACGCACCCCGCTTCGGTTAAGCTTCCCGCGCGAGCTCCTACCCAGCTCTCACCTCATCCACCGCCCGGCGGGGCAGGTGCAGCATCCCCAGGAGTAGCTTGAGCTTGACGGCCGAGGAGAGGCCGTGGAAACAGAGGCGGATGTTGTCGATCACCGAAGCCGTGAGCAGCGAGGCAATGCTCGGCGGCGCCCACAGCTCGTCTGTGGAGCCCAGTTTGTTGTGCAGCCACAGGCCAGTGTCACTCTCCCGCATCGACGCCATCTTGGGAGCGGGGCGAAAAAAGAGGTGATTCTCCACGGGCATTTTATGAAGACACCTAAAGGGAGGAAGGGAGGGGGTGAGGACCCCTGCGGGTCGCCGTCCTGTTCGTAAGCCAAAATGGCGGCGCCCTATGAGGTTGCGCTAGGGAAGGCGGAGATTCTGCCGTAACCTAAAATGGCGGCGCCCAAGCGGCGAAAAACAGCGGGGCTCCTCTCATCTCTCGCTCAGGTGCAAAATGGCGCCCGCCACAGCTTTTCTGCCGTACTGCAAGATGGCGCCGCCTCACCGCAGAGAAGCTTCTCTGTCAATGCCGACTCGTTGTTTCTCACAGTTCGCCCTAACTTCTCCGGGGCTTTCCTGGGCAGAAAAGGCCCGAGAAGCAGGAGCGGGGTGCCGAGCCACCGCGGGGCCGGGCGGCACAACTCGGAGGCATGCCGTAGCCCACCCCTCCCTTCCGAAAACGCTGGCCTCCCCCGGCCGGCGGCTCCCGCCTTCCCTCCCTGCCCGGCGCGCCAAGCGGCCGCCGCTGAAGGCGGGAAGAGAAGAGCTGAGGGCCCCGCTGCCAGCCCGCCCTGCCTCCCCGGGGCTGGGCCAACCCCCGGGCCTCCCGACACGGCGTTTGGCGGAGCACCACGTCTCCTTTCCTCACGGCCCCCCGTCTGACCGGGGCGGAGGAGGCGGGTAACCCGGTACCTCAGCGGCGGCTGCTCGGGCACAGCAGGCCCTCCCCAGCACCCCTTCTGCTCTCTCTCTCTGGTCGGCCTGCGTTGAAAAGGCAGTCCCTGTTGCCTACCCACCACCATGGGGAAGTTATTAGAGCTAATAGCACCTTAAAGAGCACCCGCGTCCGTGGTTTCCTCAGGTGCTGTCAGCCCTTGGCTTTCCTCTGCTCTGGGGCAGCTTGCCGACGCCGTGCTAGATGGTGACACCCCACCACCCCCGGTAGTGCTGTGATTTGACACGAGTGTCTTTTTCATCGTTTTCCCCAGAGATTTTCGTGCTGGGTGCTTCAGAGATGTAGGAGGTTACCTCAGCGTCTGTAACGCTAGCGGTAGGCACTCAGGAATTGGGGGTTGGTAGGCATACATTGATATTCCCTCGTGATTCAGCTCATTGTTATTTAAATATGAAAAATTAATCAATTGCCTAAATCCCAGAAGACTCGGGGTTTCTCCACTGCGGCATAAACGGTTCATTTTAGTGTCTTTCCAATGGAAATTAAAGCGCAGGAGTTGTAGGAGTGCCTAGCAAATTCACCTTCTCTCTTCCTCGAGGCTTTTGAATGAAAACGTTTTCTTTACAACATTCTTTCTTTAAAGGAGGTTGTTTACAACCTGATTTCTTCAGGAGAGCGGTGCAATTGTAGCTGAGGTGCTCTATATTTCCTCAATATGGTGTTGTGGAGTGTTACATTTTATTCTTGTTCCCAACTTTTACTGATACCCAAAATGCTGAGTGCCTGTAGCTCGCGGGTGCTGTGAAACACTGACTTTTATCAGTGTGGAAGTGTTTTAAGTGCGAAGAGTTCCTATGTGAATAAATTATATATTAGTACGTTGGGATTTTTTTCCCACAGCTAATCATTTAAAATGTGTGTGCAAATGCACACACATGCATTTTGTTGGTACTATCAATGCATACTCAAAACAAATGTGATTTAAGACAAAACTTGTGTATACAGTCAGCTGACATTTTAGAACAGCAAAATCGAGTTGAGACAGTTTGTCTAGCACATAAATTGTTCTGTCCAGAACTCCAGTTGACCTCTATCTAGAATGTTAGTTCAGTACATAGTTGTGGGAGAATTATTTATCCACAAGTAACTATTTATCTGTTAGTTTGTACAGAAAAAAAATCGTAAATAAGAGACTGGGATAAATGATTAAATTGAAAACAAAATAGGAAATGAATTAAAGCAAAAGGTTTAAAAAACAGCTGTAAAGGAATCATATTATTTTAGACATATAATGAACATGTCGCTATCACTAATAACCTTTACCTTCCATTCATTGTACCCAGCTGTTTAAAGTAGGCACCAATATTGGTAAGACTTAGGTATGTGCTTAACTAGTGCAAAATCCCCTTGAATTCACTGGAACTATTTGTTTCATGGCAGAGGAGTGAGCTTTGGATTGCAGGTTACCTGGGGTAGAGAGCATGTGTTCCTGTACCTTATGTAGCCCCTGATAGATTTAGGTCTGATTTCACTTAAGGGTATGGACTCTGATGTAAGAAAGTGTTCTGAAAATAAAAAAGTGCAAAGTGGCACAATTGTGACAAAATTCCCCAAACCTGTTGGTGAGGCATAGCTTAGTATTTTGCACTTAACTCTGCTTTCTGCTGTCAGCTACTTTTGAAAATGCATCATCCACAAAGTTACAAAAAATTACAAAAAAATCTAGTGAAGCAAGGAAAACTAGCAGTGTTCTCGCCTTCAAATGTGAGGAGAAAAGTAAACGCCTTTCAAAGGTGGGTTGGAGGAGGTAAATCAGAGAACATGCAACAGTTTGCCCAGATGGTTGTTTTCAAGCAATAGCTAACACAGAGAGTTAACCTGGTTCCATAACATGGCACAAATGGTTTTTAAGCATCAGACCTGATAAATGCTCTAGAACTCCATGGTCCAAAGTGGTAACTTTGTTCCGGTAAACTTTGTGTGGGATTAGGTACTGACTTTCTCAGGCAATGCCAACTGCCCACTGATGGAAGCTAAGGGAGTATTATTACATACTTTCTTTGTTCCTATGCTTTCCTTGAGGCATCTATTTTTGGACACTGTTTTGGACACTGAGCCACATGACAGTCTAGTCTGAGCTACTGTAATCACTTCTATGTTCTTATCTGAAGTGTGACTTGAAAAGGGAGCCTATTCTGTGATATGTATCTGGAAAATAAGGTTTTGCTTAGTCAGTTTGGCTCCAGTCCTATCACCTGGAAATTTGTCCCTATGAGCTGTTAACTGAATGGGCATGCAGACATTGTAGAGATTAAGACAAAGTGCCAGCTAGCTGTAAGAGCATGGTTTTGTCATGTCTAGTTACTAGTACCTTAACTTTCTGTTTGAATATAATAAAGCTTTATTTATTTTTTTAACCTACACTTTGTTTAGCTTGAGTACTAATTTTCAGAGTAATATGGCAAATATAAAAGTGCTCATTCCTCATGGATTCCTGGAGCTAGAAAAGGTATACTTGATTTCTCTGGACGTGCTTTATATCCCACATGATGTTGCATTACACAGTTAACTGTCTGCAGATCTTTTCTCCTCTTAAGTTGCAAGTCCCTTTTTCAAAGTTGGTGATGTTGAATATCAAATTGTTGAGAGAAGTTGGAGCATGCTGCAAGATAGACTGGGGAGAGACACTCTAGATTCACTGGTCCAGTTGTGACAGTATTCAAATAAAAAACAGGCATAGGCAAGGATTCATCTCTTTGAATCCACTTTATAATTGTTTTAAGAGAGAGATTACTTTATCTCACACTAAAACCAGTGCTCCAGGAATTTCCCAACCTGCAGTTTGCCTCGTTACCTGTTGAAAAAATATATATGCTTGGGCGAATTAGTCCTGCACTACTGAGGGCAGTGTGCTGTGTTACCTATCAGTCTCAGAATAATTGTGTACACTCAGAAGGCCATTGCCGGGGTAGAGACTGGAGTTTTCCTGGTTCGGGGGAAAGCAGCACTGCGTCTCAGCTGGGCACCCAAGTCAAGGACTGGTACACTGATAGGCAGACATTTCAGATTGGTGTTGGCATTGAGCTCTCAGTGAACAAGAAGCTGCATTTACTGTGTTTTAGGAAGCACTGAGGCATGTGCAATAAACACAACATTAGCATTAGCAATGGCACTAAGTTCCCACTGGCATCTCATCCTGCAATGGCAAGTGTGGCAGTTTCTGAGCCAACAAGGCCTTAGGCTTGTGATTCATGCCATGAGGACAGGGGCCAGCCCAAGAAGGTAGACAAAGCAGTAGATTGCGTAGTACTATATAGTACACCTTCCCACCCCCACAACGTTTCCATTAAGGTTGAATAACTGAGCTTTTCTGCAATTTTATTTTTACTTTCATGTTTGTAACTGGAATTCTAAGCACTGCAACTTTTTAGTACATTCAATATTTCAGTATGCTTTTAAAGTGAAGTTTTCTAGGTTTTTGAAGCATAATAAGAGGACAAATTTATCCTGTGGTATCAGGTTGACACATAAGTTGTCTGCATAGCCAAACCTTTGGAGCAGTCAGGGGCACTAATGGACTAACTGGTAGTAGTAATAGGCTAATATCCTTTATGGTAACGGGCAACAGAGGTTTGTCATTGGGTCTAACACTTATCTTTACATACACAATTAAATTATCATTAAGCAGTAGTTGATTTTATAAAATGGTATTTACTGTCAGTTTTAGTACCTGTCAATACACTTTTATACTAATTCTGTTCATAAAAGGCTGCTTATTATAAGTATATGCGTTTTCATTTTGTATGGGTGTATCATTTTGTGGGAGAGTTTATTTGACCCATCTGAAAACTTTGCTCTAGCGATGGGATCTGAAAGGAAACACTGTCTGGGAATTTATGCAAACAAAACCGGATTATCTGACTTCCTCAAGTCAAATGGGAAGTTTGTGCGTGGTAACCTCTTGTGTCAGCTGTGACACAGCCAGCTATGTTCCTTGGCAGGCAAAGTCTCTTGAAACCAATATAACTCGATTCTGGCAGAAATAAAGATAAATTAAAATAAAAGCTATGAAAAGTGTCCTGGATACACCTTGTGAATTGGCATGGCATGATGGGCAGTAATTATTGCAATGGTGCTCCATCTGGCTACCTGTGTCCAGGATTATGCTTACGTTGCTGTCATACCCTCTTATGACTTCAAACACATGATTCTGTGATTTTTTTTTTCCCAAAATAAACTTCAAAATGGTGTAGTGACTTGAGACCTAAGATGATAAAGGTCCATGAATAGCGAGAGGTAGAACTCAAAACAGTCATTTCCTTTCTATCTTGCTCTAGAGGAGTTTCATTTGATACACTGCCACTGTTGGACTCTGACATCTAGTAGTGGCTAATGGGGCCTGAAATTTGAAGGTTATCAGCAGTGATGAAACAATTTCCTTGAAGTCTCAGCGGAGTGGCATACCTATGTGACAGGTCCCATCCTTGAGGAAACAGCCATCTGGAATCTCCCCTTCTTCTTTCCCTCATCTCCACATGTCACTCAGCAGCAGCTAATCAGTATGGTGGTAGTGCATCATCCTTAGGGTTGCCCTGACTTCATTAGTATGCACTGCTTTGAAGAAGGTGCTGCCCTCCTAGCTAGCAGGGTTGTCCTGGTTCCAGCTGGGATACAGTTAATTGTCTCCCTAGTAGCTGGTACAGTGCTATGTTTTTGAGCTAGGTATGAGAAGAATGTTGATAACACACTGATGTTTTCAGTTGTTGCTCAGTAGTGTTTAGTCTAAAGTCAGGGATTTTTCAGCTTC